TGCAGGAGTGAGAGAGCTCTCTGTGACCTTTTTTATAAGAGAACTACACTAATCCCATTCATGAAGGCTGTACCCTCAAGACCTAATCACTTCCCAAAGGCCCAACCTCCTAATACCATCACATTGGGGGTTAGGATGTCAATATATGAATCTGGAGGGGACACAAACATTCACCATCACACTGAGTAACAACATGGAGGGGCCAATGACAGTGGAAGATGATTTTTATTGCTTACATTTCCCAAGAGGAGGGAACACACCACACCACACAGGGCCATGTGTGGAAGCACCAGTGTTGGTCAGCAGGCAGAAAGGAGCAAGGAAAGAGCAGAGGCCACAGCTTGATTGTGTTTTCCACAGGAAAGACAGGGCAGGGCAAGGCAGGGGAAACAGCTTAGGATTGGCTAGTTTGAGTAATGTCGGTAGGCTCTGGGGTGTAAGGGTGGTCTCTGATTATGTGGTGTCTGGCCCTGGTGATTTAGGGCAGGGGAAATATTGGCTGTGTGAAAGTTAGATAAAGGAGGTGGTTGGGGTATGGGCTCTGGATCACAGAGGGGATGTAAACAACTGTGGCTATTAGTGTGACCCTGTGTTGTGGTTTGAATGTCCCCCCAAATTCATGTTAGAACTTAACCTCCAATACAGTGGTGGAAGGTGGGGCCTTTAAGAAGTGACTGGATCAAAAGGACCATGCCTTCCTGAGTGGATTGATCCACTCATGCAGTAATGGGTTGATGGTTTAATGGGTGGTCGTGGATGTGGCTTTATAAGGAGAGCCAGTGAGAAGGTCAATACCCTCGCTCTTGCCATTCTCTCACCATGCAATATCCTGCTCGCCAGGGGACCCTGTAGAGAGTTCCCAGCCAGAAGAAGGCCCTCACTAGATGCACCCCCTAGGCCATGGACTTCCCTGCCTACAAACTGGAAAAAATTAATTTCATTTTCTTGTAAATTACCCATTTTCAGGTATTCTGTTGTAAGCAACAGAGAAGGACTAATACACTCTGTGATTAATGGATGCCAAACAGACAAATACAGAATCTAAAAAACACAGTTAAAAACACTCATGAGCTAGAATTTCTATCTACTTAAACCCAAGGGAGTGCACAACATGGGGGCCTGTTCTCAGGCAGTGTCTCCCAGCCCAACCCCCACCCCCTTGCTAGCACATACGTCCAAGGAGCAGGCAGACAAGTTTTTCTTCCCTCACATCCCATTCTGGGTCCCCTGCAACTCCAGCGTTGGCTGCAAAATCACAAATAATATCTACCAGTCCCAACATTGGACCAAGTTTTGTATCAAGCCTGACTCTTCTGCAGGGAGGAGCATTGGCCATAAGTCACACAACCCTTGGCCAAAATCCCAGCTCATCCACTTCCTATTATAGTGCCTTTGTCAAGAGACTTCACCCCTCGGTCTCAGTTTCTCCATCCATAAATGGCAGATAAAACTCAGCGTTGCTTATGAATGAAGGAATGAGTGTAACAGTGCACAAACACAGCATCCAGCTTAGAATAAGTGTGCCTGTTGGAGCTTTTGCAGCCTCTGAAGACAGCATTGCCATCTGCTCTCAAGTGAACCATGAGATCTTTTGGGGGCAGAGATCACAACAGAAAAATAACAGCCAGTGTGTATTGAGTGCTTACTCTCTGCCACCTTCACGTTAGCCCAATGAGGTCAGGACTATTCTTATACCCATTTTACAGATGAGGAAGCTGAGGCTCAGGGACGGAAAATCAATTTTGACACACCACATTTCGGCTGCTTCCTATCTGGGTGAATCCACTTCTCTTCCTGGGCTGCATCAAGCTCTTGCCCTTAAGTGGTTAAGTTGGAAGTGCAGCCTCTGTCCCCCCAAGGAATATTCTTTCCCGTTTAAGCTGAAATCCCGGTTGGATGCAGTGGAGAGGCCCAGGGAAGGGAGGCCAGCTATAAAAAGCCCCTCAGTGGGTTGAGACTTCCCTGGTTGTATTGGAAGCCCCCTGAGCCCAGTAAACTCAGAGTGCTGGTGAGCTCAAGAGGCCAGGGAGGGCTTTCCAGGGTCTCAAGGGGCAGCAGAGGAGAAAGAGTGGCCTCCACATGGGCAAATATGGGCACCTGCCAGGACTCTTACTTTCTGAGCTCAGCTTCTTGAAGTGTAGAAAAAGCTCAAGACCCCTTAAGGATCATAGCCATGGTGTTTGTTGTTGTTGTCATTATTAATATTGCCATTATTATTATCCAGAGGCCAAGGGAGGAGGACCACACATTTCCTGGGCCTTTGGAGCTGGCAAGGATGCAGCCTGGTGGGGGAGGGGGAGAAGGTGGCCATCTTCAAGTTTTGTCGCTTGCACCAGGTTTATAATAACACACCCTTAGGCCCAATTTGTGAGGCCAGAGAAACCAACCCTGAGACTTCTCCAGACCAGCATGCCCCCTGCTGTGTTTCACAGGTGTTCTGCAAGGTGGTAATCAGTTTTCCGTGGATAAAAAGAATTCCGTGGTTGAATAAATCTGGGCAAACACCAGCTTTAAACAGTGTTAATTTTTCTCTATTGCAGCCTTGTCAAAGCCTTTAGTATGCTCATTCATTCATTCCCTCAAACACCACTCATTGAGCATGTTCTATGTGCCAGGTACATCTTGCCAGGTGGTAGAAATACAGTGGGGGGCAAACAGGTATGGTCTTTGACCTCATGGAGCACTGGTTCACAGCACTGACTGCACGTTAGAGTCACCTGGCAACTCTGAAGAACTCAAGATGCTGGAGCCACCCCCAAAGACTTCTATTCAATTGGTCTACAATGGGACCGGAGCACCTGGATTTTTCAGAAGCTCCCACAAGTGATTATAACGTGAGGCCAGGGTCAAGATCAAGAGCCACAGGTCTCAAGGGAAAGATAAGCAGCAAAATGACAACTGTCATCCATCTGTGCAGGTGTGGTTAGCGTGCAGTGAGAACAAGAAGCAGGGCACTGCCATTGTCTGGTAGGTAGGGGAGACTCCACCAAGGAAGAGAGATTGTAGCTGAAATCTGATGGAAGAGTGTATGTTACCTAAGTAGGATGGGGTGGAAAATTTGGGGGGACATCTCAGTGAAGGTGACGACCTATAAAAAGGAGCCTTTGAGTAGTGAGAAAGGGGCACATGATGAGACTGGAGTTTGGGGCCAGATAATCCAGGGCCTTTGGCACCTTCATCTCTCTGAGCCTCAGTTCCTTTATCTGTAAAATGAGAATGACATAAATATCTATCTGTAGGGCTTATCTGAGACTGCGGGAAGGAGTGCCGAATGGGAATCCCCTGGAGGGCTTTTAGTGGGAGAGTGAAATAATCAAATATATGTTTTTTTAAATGCACCCTGGCCTCTGAGTGGAGGTCTCTGAGTGGATTATACAGGATCGAGTGTGAAAGCTGCATAAAACCTCCCCGCAGCCTCCCTCCTGCTGCTACTTGGTGACTGGATGATGTCTAGCATACATTAAGCATCTACTGTGTGCCCTGGGTCATGGGGTCCAGAGGGTGAGTGAAACTCAGCTCTTGCTTTCAGTAAGCTCATGATGTATTTGGAAAGCTTTAGGGTCCGTGGAGGTGCCTCGGGGTCCCACCCCAGAGTGAGAGAAGTGGGAGGGCTCTTCGCCCTCCCTCCTCCTCCTCAACATGTGCACATCGAGCAAATCAGCTCCACTGTGTCTGTGGTGCAGACTGAGTTTCCACATAGGGATTCCATTTGCAAAGGGTATAAGCTCAAGAGAAGAAACGTGGCAGCCAGAACTCTGGGATCTCTGTTCCTCCAGGAATGGCTCTGAAAGAGCCACCAAATCCTTTGCCTGGTTCCAACCCAAGAGGCCTGTGCTTGGAACTAGAAAAAGCAATTTTGCTCTGGAGGTCTTCCATAGGGACTAGAGTTAGTTCCCATTGTATTGAGCACCTATTGTGTGTCAGGTACATTTCCAAGGGTATTTTGAATTTGATCCCACCAGGAATTCTATGCTTGAATGGTATTTTTTGCCCATTTTTCAGGTGCAGAGATTGGGGTTCAAATGTGGGCATCTCTACTAAGTCTTTCCATTACTGTCTGCTGCCCACCAAATACCAGCTGTACCAAGGCTCGCCCCTCTGGGGAACTGGGAGTCATTAAACTTGAAGATTCCAGAGCCAGAGGTCCTTGGGTTCCTGAGGTTATTCTAGAATCATAGAACTCTGCATTCCCTTTCCAGCGAAGTATAGTGTTTAAGAACGTGGGCTCTGGAGTGACACTGCCTGGATTTGAATCCCCCTGCTCCATCCCTTACCAGCTATGCGGCTCTGGATAAGTAACTTTCTCTCTCTGTGTCTGTTTCTTTATCTGTAAAATGGGGATATTACTAGCACCTAATTCACAAGGTTGATAGGATTTCACCGTTGATCAATGTAAAACACTTAGAAAAAGTGTCTGACACATAGTTAAGTTTTCAATAAAGGTTATGATTCTATTGCTATTAGTATTTGTATTAGTCTGCTAGAGCTGCCATGTACCGCAGGTTGGGTGCCTTAAACAACAGAAATTTCTTTTCTTACAATTCTAGAGGCTGGAAGCCTAAAGTCAAGGTGTCAGTAGGGATGGTTTCTTTTGAGGCCTCTCTCCTTGGCTCGCAATTGGCTGTCTTCTCCCTGTGTCTTCACACAGTTGTCCCTCTGTACCTGTCTGTGTCCAAATCTCCTCATTTATAAGGACACCAAACCTATTGGATTAGTGCCTACCCCAGTGACCTCATTTTAACTTTGTAACCTCTTTGAAGACCCTCTCTCTAAATAAGGTTACGTTCTGGGGTGCTGGGGGTTAGGACTTTTACACAGGAATTTGAGGGAAACACAGTTCAGCCCATAACATCACTGGTAGTATTTGTCCCCCATCCTCTGCTGGGGTTCTGTCTTTCTAGCCACCTGACTTGGGCGGGTTTCTCTTCCCTTGTCACCAGAAGTCGCAGCCAGGCGCTCAGCTCCGAGGCCAGTGTGGACGAAGGCGGGGTCTTTGAGAGCCTGAAGGCAGAAACAGCCTCCTCACCCACGCTCTTCTCCGGCTTGACAGGCAACCTTCCTGCCAGCCCGTTCCCAACCAGCCTGGTGCTGGGGTCCTCTGCCAGCGGTGGGGACGTGTTCATCCAGATGCCGGGGTCCAGGGAGGAAGGAGGGGGCCGGGGCGAGGGGGGCACCTACCACCACCGCCAGCCCCACCACCACTTCCACCATGGTGGCCACCGTGGGAGCTCCCTGCTGCAGCACGTGGGTGGGGACCACCGAGGACACTCGGAGGAGGGGGGTGATGAGCAGCCAGGGACACCTGCCCCTGCCCTGTCTGAGCTGAAGGCTGTGATCTGCTGGCTCCAGAAGGGACTCCCCTTCATCCTGATCCTCCTGGCCAAAGTGTGCTTCCAGCATAAGCTCGGTGAGTCCTTGGGGATGTGGTGTCCTAGCCTGCGGCTTCAAACATGGAGCCCCCACAGCCCGTGGGGTGAGGGGCTCTTCATCCAAGATGCCAGGGGAAGGAAGGAGAGGCCAGCAGGGTGCAAAGTGCTTAAGGGTGTGGAATTCTGAGTCAGACCTGGGTTCAAATCCTGGCCAACTCGCTGTGTGACTTTGGGCAAGTCACCTGGCTTCTCTGAGCCTCAGTTTCCTCATCTGTCCAATGGGGGTTGTGATACAAACTTCCTCAGCTTTTTTCTTGATGTGAAGGAGTAACGTGTAATAATGAAGAGCTCAGACTGCTTGTGTCTGAACCGCAGCTCTGTCCCTTACTAGCTGTGTGGTGCTGGGTACATTACTTAACCTCTCTGTGCCTCAGTTCCATCATCTGTACATTGGGGGTTATGACAGTATATACTTCATGGATGGCAGTGAGGTTGAACTTGAGTTAATATGTGTGAAGCAGTTTGGACAGTGCCTGGCAGAGAGTCAGTGCTTTGCAAGTACAGATTGTTATTTTTATTTTACTCATTATTAACACACATTAAAATACTTAACATAGAGCCTGGCACATAGCAAGTGCTCAGTAAATGCTACCTGTTGTTGTTATTAGGATGTTAGACAATGATTCATAAAGTGCCTAGCCTTGTGCCTGACACATACTTAACATGCAATAAATGGTCTGTGTTTACTGTTATTATTATTATTGTTGTTGTTGTTTCTTACTGTTGTTAGATCATGATGTTGCCGCGTCCTGCCGGGCTCGTAGGGTATTGTGTTTGTCCTACGGTAGGAGTGAGGATAAGAATTATCTCATGGCCTACCACTTCCCCTAAGGAAACATCTGGAAGGGATTAGGCTGTCCTTTGTTTCTTATTTTCCCCTCTTTGTGAGCTCAGGCAACTGGGACCACTCCGCCTTCCTTGCTGGGGCGCTACCATACAAGCCCCTCCCTTTTTACCCCTAGACACAGAAGCCAGCATGATCCCTCTTACCCTGAAATCTGGCAAACTCACAGCTAAGTTTTATTCTCCAGTATGCTTATTTTCTTTTTCATTGGCAGATTTTTTGTTTTTTGTTTTTTGGGTTTTTTTTTCATCAAAGAAGACAGTAGAAAAAAGGATTGGGGAGTTACTGGTTCTTATTTTCTATGTTTTCAATGAAGAAATGTATCTTTTTCAAAGTAGATCTGGAGAAATACCTAGAGTGCACATACTATCAAAAAAGTAAACAAACTCCAAACACATTGTGTCAAAGCAGAATCCTGTCTACAAGTTACAAAAAGTAGGATTTGAAAATCATTATTCTGGGAGAATTCCAAGATGTTAGCTTTGCAAACAGTGACAATTAAATGAGTTGTGGATTAAATTCAATTCCATTCTCCCATCTGGGTCATGTTTTCCTGTTAGCTGGGATTTTTTTTCCCCTTTAACATGAAACTTTTATTCCTTATGTCATTGTGTTCTTTTTCCATGTATGCTTTTATTACAAATAACACACCTCAGATTCTTTTTGAAAGTAGAAATAATAGGCGCCATTCAGTAACTGCTAGAGATTGTGTTCTATAAGCATTATCCCAGGACGAGGTAAGTACTGTTATTCTGTCCATTTTGCAGAGGAAACTGGGGCTCAGAGAGGTGCAGCAACTTGCCCAAGCTCACACAGAGAGGAGGTAGCAGAGCCAGGATTTGAACCCAGGTCTTACCAGACTGTACAGCCCATTCTCCTAGCTCAGTGCTGTAAAATATCTCCACCATGGCCTAAATCCTGTCCCTAAATCAGAGGCATATAGTCAGAATGGCTCAGGGTTCCCAATGATTTACATGACATCCTAAATCCCCCAGAAGTGGGATTTTCTCTCTCTTCTGTGGTTAGCCTGTCAACTCCAAGGGGAACAGGGATGTGACTTTTTCCGGAGTTGCTCATGGTCCTGGGATGGGCCTGATGAGTCTGAGTGGGTGGTATTGAACCCTCCTCTGTCCCACAGGCATCGCTGTGTGCATCGGGATGGCCAGCACCTTCGCCTATGCCAACTCCACACTCCGAGAACAGGTCTCTCTCAAGGTGAGTCACCTGGCCAATCAGTCTCCTGTTTCT